CACACTTGACGCACTTGTCAATAGCGCCCACCATTCCTGCCACGCTCACGCCCCGAACCCTCGCATGAAGTTTCTGAGCTTCAGTGAAAATGTCCCGGGGGCATCTTCGGTGCCTGCGCCTGGCTTAAGGCGCTGTAGATGGTGCTCTGAATCGTTGGGCGAGAAGCCAGGCGACGCGCGCAGCACCGAGACTGAACCGGGCGGAAGAGCAGAGCAAACCACACGCTTTCTCCAGTGGCATCTGCCAACGCACGAGACGTCAGACCTTTCAAGAAAGCCTCATCGATGTCCATGGATGCCGTGATCCACTGTTCCTCGCACGCGGCCGCGCAGGCGAGCAATCTCTGGCTTGCTCGACGAGCTGCGCCTGAGAAAAGTCTCCGCGTCGAATGCTTCGACGCCCATGGAGGCGCGAAGAACGTGGCGCAGTCGCATTGTTCGCTCAAGTTTGCCTTTGTCGTTTTGACAAACTTCCACTTGCACGCGTATCTTGAGGCCATGACATTAGTAGCCGTCTTGACGCATTGCACATTGAAGCATTTGTTCTCATACCATATTTTGAGTTCAGTGCGCAAAGCTGCGAGCACCTTTTGTCGGGTTGGCTTGCATGTCTGCCTTCGTCAGAAGGTCGTCTTGCTTGACAACCACAGCTCTTTTCGCTGTGGCTGAGGCATATGCACGCATTGTGGTTACTTGGTCGCTGCGTAGTGACTCGCATTGTCTCTCTGATAGAACAACCTTGGACATGTCAGCAGTAAAGAATAACTCAACTTACTGACAGTGGTCGTCCGCGTCGAGATCGCAAGTCTCGTCGCATTCGGCGGTCAAAAGTACCAGAGAGGTTTCGTCGGCGCCATGGTTCCGAGCATAACTCACGTCTCGCAAGTGCCCCTGCTCTGCACCGGCCACAGCCACGAGCACGCGGCTGTCGGTAACCATTTCGGAGGGCACAGAGCACAGGGACTCCCAAAAGAGGGTCTCGAGCAATACCTTTTCCTCGTGGAGCTCTGCATACCGCGCGTCCATGATGCGCGCTTCTAGATCCGCTGCTGACTACTCAGCAATAGTCGGTAGTCTGCCGTCAAGTGCGGCCGGCGCTGAAGGTCCGTCCTCCTCTTGGGCGTGGCCGCCCGACGCCGGCGTGTCCGCTGGGTCCTCAAACTTTGCGAGATTCCCATCAAAGCCTGCTCAAGGTTGCGATGACTTTAAACACTGAATGACTCGTGCACGCGCGGCCCCAGTGATGTCGCGGAGGTTCAGAACGGTACCTTCTTATTCGTAGCAATAAAAACCTCGTGTAACGCCGTTGTCATAATATACCAGGGTACAGCTATCAGCGCAGGGTGCTGCCGGTAATCTGCGGATGCTTTGAGCCAAACGTACAGTTACAACGCTATCTATCCTAAAATAATTTCCGATGAGAAACGCGAATTTGGGTTAGAGCCGACTCGCTGTAGGTCGGCAGGTAGCCAAAAGCCATAGCAGGTCCCCTCGCAGGCAAGCCCACGATGAAGCCAATACTGTTCGCAGTGCCGTAGTCTCCGAGCCGACCTCGCGGACCATTGATACTTCAATATAAAATGTATGTCGTAAGCCTGGGCATTGTACCAGGACTTCCCGGTCACCGACCTAAACTACTTCCTGACCACGGTCAGGGCAGTTACGGGCGAGGGGGCATGGTCCGTTCCATCCACCCCAGTCGTCCTTGGTAATGGTCGGACGGCGGTAGTCCACGAGATCCCCCCGGTGATAGTTGCTGCATCCCACTGCTGTCGTCTTCGTGCGTAGGGCTATTGGTTTTGGCTACTGCAGTGGCTTATATATGATTCTCTGCTCTCGATTATGATCGGACGCTTCCGGCCCCTGTCGGCGGTCCAAAACTGGTCGGTCTGGCAGGCAGACCCGTTGTCGTCCACGCCGTGCTTGGTGCGGAGATGCCCCGTCGTAGAGCGCACAAGCACTGCAGACAAATAGGCCTTCGTGCAGCAAACGTGTGAAAACCAATGGAATGTTGTGCCGCTTTCAATCTCCTTCCATGACATGTAAGGCGTGCCCCAGAATGCCGTCGCGTGCTTAAGCGGCGGTGGCATGCTGGCCTCGGGCACGAATGCGAAGCTCTGTGCTTTTGGCCTTCAGGACGGATTTAGCAGCGTCATTGTTCAGAACACCTTCACCGTCGGAATACAGCACTGTTGCCGGGCCGCGCTGCATCCAGCAGCTGTGATAGGCGTCCAATATCGCATGCATAGTCCCGTCGGCAATCTCTTGGCCTGCAGCCCAACGAGTGCACCAGTCGATGATGTGAAACACGATATATCGTTTGTAGAGCATCAAGTTACACTCGTTTTCCTCGTTGAAAACGCCAGGGAGACTTATTGAAGGCGTAACAGTATTGCCTGGTTTCTCCCAGGTTCTGCACTCACGGCATGAATATACTACACCCTGTATCATGTTGAAACGTAGAACATCGATGCCTACGCGCGACAGAATCGCACGCATCTTTGGTTCAGAAGCGCGCTACAAGCGTAAGTCGAGCTTGTGTTGCTCTTTCAGCACGGTGGTCGCATCGTAACTCCGTGAGTTTTGGAGGCTCATCTGAATGTCAAATCTTGACCAACCAGGCAACATGGCACGCGGCCGCGCATCCGCTGGAGGCGGGGGAAAGGCCGGCGCGACGCCGCTCTCCTCTCGTCCGTGTCGTCCTGCGAAACGCGGGGGGGCAGAAGAGCCACCAGCCCCAGAGTCACTGCGTCCGCCTCGCGTCATGTCGCAGCTGCTGGCGCCCACAGTTGGGTCTTGGGGATGTCTACGTGAGGGCAGAGCTGCACGTAGCCGCGTGCCTCCCCAGGGTCTCTGTCGAGCTGGTGGTAGCTCTGCTGGCGCAGGTACCTCATCGAAAAGGTCGTCTGGTGCGGCTGCTGGCGCTGCAGCAACTGGCGCAGGTGCCCCTTTTCCGCTGGCGCAGGCGCAGCCGGTGGAGCTTGTCCGCGGTTGTTTGGCAGTTGCAACGGTCGGGCAAATCTACACTTGCCCTGCGTCAGCAGGTGGCCCCGCTTGTTTCTGCCATGGCTCTTTTTTGCAATTTGGCCATATCCAGTGATAGGGCCCCTTGTCATACCAACGGTATTGACGCGGATTTCGGTTGCGACTTTGTGAGTTCATTTGAACGTTGTCGATACAAACTGGGCAACCAAGTCCTCCCGATGGCGGTCGTTTGACGGATCCGTTCTCTTCCCGCAAGATCGCTGGATCATCGAGATCGAGTCCAACACCGTTGACCACAAATGTGTTTGCGCAATGCCTGTCGGCAAAAGGGTTGTTGCCACGTGCATGACATGATTTTGCAATCTGTACTGCATCTACGATCAGCGACTGCATCTTTGGGGTGGTCGTCTTGCACGACGGCCACCATCCCACAGAAGGCGACGCGGGGAAGGCCCCCCCTGCGGTGTTTGTACCAAGCGTCGCGGTTGACCTGGGAATTAAAATACGAAGGCAAGCCCGCGGTTCTGCACTCGGGTTGTAGCATGACTATTCTGACGAAGCACGCGCGCAGATAATGCCCCACGCACGATGCACACTCGCGGATTTCCCAGGGCAACGGTGGCACGCTGGTCTAGATTACCTCCAGAAGGAAGCTTTCTTGTGAAAGTGAGTTGCGATATGCTGCCAGTGCCTCCGCATAGTTCTAACGCGTCCACACAGTTGTTCCCCCCATACCAGAGGCCAGGGACAATGGTAAACATGTCAGCATGCGCGCCCGCAATGCCACTTGGGAACGTTGAGAAGACGCTGTCGTCCTCGTCTGACTCCAGCTCTGCGATGAGAGCGTCGGAGAGCAATGTGACATCTCCAAGGCCTTCGAGGTCGCAACCACAGTCGTCGCTGCCATCCTCGACTTGTTTTTGGTATCTTGTTAGGTTTGATGCCACTTTTGCGTTTGTTTTTTCTCTATCCGAGATTGGCAGTGCTGTTTGCGCGACTGGCGCGCCCACCAACGTCGGAAACATTGGAATTGCGGGCGGGCCCCCGTCGCCAAGCCCAATCGCGAGGGGAGCAGATCGATCATTTTCGCCGAACGCAACTCGCTACTTGCGGCTTGGCGGCGCATGCCCGTGCCCGAGCAAAGCTGGGTAAGGTAATTCCCAATGCCGTCTCGAACATGTATTGCGGATTCCGTTGGGTAACAGTGTTGTCCAATTATAAGCGGTCGAACCGATATCTTCAATCACCTTCTCTTGGTAAGAATCAAATGTAACCCGTCGAACTACGTCGCCCCATCACGGTCCGGTGTCGTTGAACTGCATGTAGACGTGCACATTCGTATCGGTGCGAGTGGACACTTATAGGTAAACTTGCGCTTTGTCTTTGGCTGTGTCTCTGCAGAGTTGGGCCACAATTTGTGCTGTCAGGAATGTCGTTGTCTTGTTTCGCCGGTACGTGCCGTTGCGTTGCTGGTCGTGTCCGTACCAGTCCAGTAAATTATCCTTCATATCCCTATACCCTTACATCTCCATAATTTTTGCAGTATTTTCGTACACGACATATATATATATATATATATATATATATATATGTGTGAATATAGGAACCGCTGGGCCTCTCGCTAGCACGATCAAACTTGACGTCGAAGTGGCATGGGCGCATCCGGATCTCTCTGACTTTAAGGATTTGGAGAGCCTCTCGTATTAGACTAAATTCCAAAAGTATCCGGGCGGTCCTGCCCAGACTGTTTGCACCCTGAGAGCATGTGCGTTGGTCGGGAGATTACGCATTCTCTCGCGGTGTGGTCCAGCCCGCTTGTTCGGCAACCTAACGTGCCAGTCAGCGGGCGTGGCCACCCAGAGCAGCGCGTAGTCTCCGGATAGTAGTCCTCTGAAATGTTGTGCCCCCATCGATGTCATTACCTCGATATGCGTGATACAATAACGCATATATCCTCGACTGCGCAATTCGGCGGTAGCCGCGCCGGCATTGCCCTTGTGCTTAACACTGCCAAGGGCATCCCCTTCTGGACCCCGGCTGAGAACGGCGACGCCGTGAACCTCACGGTTGAAGTCACATACGTCGATGATGAGGCGATCGCCATAGTCACCCGTTCCTCCACCCAGCTCCGCGAGGCCATCGGCACGGTGACCAACCTTTACGCCAAGGTATTCGCCGAGATCGGCCTGCGCATCAACTGGAAGAAGGGCAAGAGCGAAGCTATCGTCCGCTGCCGCGGCCCGGGCGCCACGAAAGTCGTTGCTGAGTTGAGGTCTGAGGGCGGCCTCCGCATCCCGCTCGACGACGGAACTACCGCCATGCACGTAGTGGATGGGTACCATCACCTCGGCGGCGTGATCTCCGCCAGCGGGAGCATGGTGCCAGAGGCCCGGCAGCGAGCCTCCTCGGCTATGTCCGCCTACTCCCCGATCGCGTCCAGGGTATTCTCCTCGATGTCATCGGTACCACCATGAAGCTCCACCTGCTCCACAGCCTGGTCCTGTCGAGACTGCTGTACAACGTCGCCATATGGATAATGTCCCCCGCGGCTCTCAAGCAGATCAACGGTCCCTACATGCGTGCCCTGAGACGCATTGCTGGCGATATGAAGGCTGGGCATGCGCCTGCCTTCTCGGACCTCGCAGTCCGCCAGAGGCTACATGCACCGTCCATCGACTGCCTCGTTCTGCCAAAGCGTCTCCGCTAATACCACCGACTGGTGGCCCACCAGCCCTCCGCGGCGTGGGCCTCTATGCAGGCGCGCCCGCGAGGGCGGCCCCTGCCGTATGTTGCGCAGGTGATCGTGGACCTCAACCTACTCCGGCGCCTGGCGCCTGAGTTGGACGCCGTGCCTGGCTGCACCGAGGCCCCCAGCATGTGGAAGTCTCGCATGAGAGAAAACGACTGGACCTCGATTGTACAGCGAGTCTTCTTCTGTGAGTCGTCGCTGGACAAGGTGGCCGTGCAAGGCTGCCACGCCCCGCCGGGTGTGCGATTCCGGCGTGATAGGTGCGACGCCAGCTTCCCGACCAACAAGGCGCTGTTACAGCATAAGCGGATCGCTCATAAGCAGACTGCTCCTATCAAGGCGTTCATTGACGATTCGGGCGCATGCCCCGCGTGTAAAACAGACTTTTTGGAGCGGCACCGCGTCATACGACACGTGTCTGATAGCCGCCGCCCGGCTTGCCGCACCCAGATCATGTCGACTTTGCCAGCACAGAGCCCAGAATTGGTGGCTGCGTGGGAGGCCCGCGACAACGAGCGAGTCAGGCTAGCCAGACGAGCTGGCTCGACCCACATCCTGGCGGCCGGCCAAGCGGTCACAGCCGCAGGCCGCCGCATAGGACGCGCTACAAAATAAATGCAGCATTTACGAATCACTTGAGACTCCTTCAGGGAATTCCTCGCCGCACAACATAATCAAAGCTCTAGAGTGATAGGTTTTAGCGTTAATGGAAGAGCGCGTGCCCACGATAGTCTTTGCCATAAGTCACGCGCCCGCGCCTCTGGCCCCGTTGGGGCGGCAAGCAAGCTTGGCCAGAGGGCCCTCCTGCCCCCGTCAGCGGGGGCCATCTATGTGGGGCAGGATACCCGACGCTTCGTCGCTCGAGCATGTCCTTCCCTAACTGGCACCCTGCTCGGTGGTGTTGTGAGACGACGAGCTGGGGCCTCCGATGGTGAAGACCTGTGACCCGTCCTCCGCAATCGAGATGGCGCCCCCATCTTCCCCGGGCGCGGCCGCCCACGATACATTGGGGCTACCTGTGAGCCAGCCCCTCGCCGCCTCCAGGCGTGGGCGGAGGGGGTTCGTCATCGGGCATGAGTCCCACTTGCCAGCTGCCCTTCTCACCTTGCGGACGCCTGCTAGCAGCATCGGGGTCATCTCATAGCGGCCCACTGGGCGATCAGATCGACGCCAGCGGCCCATTGTCGAGCTGACCATTATAGCGACAGCGTCATCAACAGCCTGATCTATGAAGCGACTCAACGCTTCGTGGTTATACTCGCCAGTGCCCCGGCATGGCTGACATGCCTGTCCACGGTCGGCCTCTGTCTCGCACTGGGATGAGCTCCCCGCACGAACACAAGTGGAAGTCTCAGCTGCTGACTCGCCATCTGTGCCGAGAGTTGCCCCCCTGTAGCTTGAGCATGCAATGGCCAGGTGTCCTGAAGGCGTCTTCTGCAGCATCAGAACCGGCGCGCCTCTATATGTGTGCTGGCCTGGAAGGACAACGCGCCCCCTACCCCTCCAGGATCAGAACCACCCTCACTGATTGCATGGAGGTACGGCCAAGGATGGCGGGCAAGTCCGAGCCGGATCCATCTGCGACGTTGCCAACAAAAGCACCCACCTTTGCGGTCGGCGGCTTGTCGGGACGTTGGCAATTACACGAAATTGCGAACGTGCCCAAGGTCCGGCACATGGCTGCGCCACTGCCAACCCCGTTGACAGACAGCAGCCTTTCCAGGTTCATGACCTTCAGCATGTGTCCATGCTGGCGGGATTGGTTATCGAACTCTCGTGATGTGTCGATAGCATACTCAGTTTGCCAGGAATCAATGTCATCAGCCTACCTGGTGAATACACATGCTGGACGCCGGCTGGGGTCGAAATGGCATGCGCTTCCGCGCCCATCTGCCTTCTGAGCCCACCCTGGTGGACGACAAAGTGTTTCCTCGACAGGTTCAGAGACAGTGGACCCCAGCTGCCCATATAGGCGCTCACTTCTTCCACCGTGGCAGGCTCACGCTCAACTGCCAAGTCGGCGTACCTTCTGGCGTTGATCGGTTCGGGTACTGCGTTCGCTTCTACACCAGTGGCGCGGACCCAGTTGCCCTGCAGCATGAATGCAGTGGACTGTTCATACATCACCCTTTCTGCTGCCACTGCCTGGTCCAAAAACGCATTGTTCGTTCGACGGGGAGTCCACCCTCCTGCTCGTGGCCGAGCGAGGGCTGCGGCGGCGTCTTGAACCCGCCTGTTGTTGTTGCTGCTGTTCTTGGCGGCCGAGCAGTGATTTGCCGAAAGGATTGGGCGTCGCATGGGCTGCAGGTGCCCCCGCGCCCTGCATCGACGGGGCGTCGACTGCAGGTGTCCCCGCATCGTATAGGAGCGGGATCGGAATTGCCAGTGCTGGGGACGCTGCCGACACCATATGGCTCGCGGCCGAACTTGCTGGGGGAATCGACACCAAAACTTCATCCAGCCTCCGGCGCAAGTCAGATATCTCTTGAGCCTGCTGGATGGCCACGGCTGCTGAGCTCGACGTGTCGATAGGTCCCCTGCTAATAGCACATGGAGCCTCCACATCGGCCCCTGACCTCCCTCTTGACACGTGAACCCGAGCATTGCGGCCCCAGCTATCGGCACGGCATTGGCGACCGCATTGTAGCCTCCACATCTTGTCGCGCAAAACGAAGAACTCGAGGGACACGGCGCACTGCGTGAAGGATATATCCGATACCGCAAGTGCATCTGAGCTCGGGCGCGTCCGCCCTTGCCGCTGCAGAGAAGACTCATCCGCCTCGTGTGGAGACGGCGGCGGTCCCGGACCTTGGACTCGACCTCGTAGTCTGCGCGTGTCCGCGCTGGGCGCTGCTGCGGGCAATTTGCTGCATCCGTCTTGCGTTTCGGTCACGCGCGGCCCTTCGGGCCTCTTCCGCCGCTTGCATGCTTGCTTGCATCGTCGCGTGGATGTCTTGCAGGTGGGTTGACCTCAAGCGCTGATGGCTGCACTATCGCGTCTGGGCCTGTAGGCGAAGGGCAATAACCCACGCGCGGATACGTCTCTGAACCTGGGACACGCACCGCTTGCAAGCGATAGAAGTTATCCGCCATGTCCCGGGCCACTTGGTTCTAGGCCAATGGGCCCACCCTCGGTGTTCCATAGTGCTCGGGAAACAGCGGCTGATCCATCTGTGGCGGAGCTGACCCTTCGAGTAGAAAGTATGTTGGATGCGCGGCAAACGCCGGAATAAATGGTAGCCAACCTGGGCGGTCTGCCGATGGGCTCGCATATGGGTGCCATTCCCAAGGATGTGTCCAGGTTTTTCCCGATCTGTCACATCCACTCCGAGCAGCCTCATTTCAGACGTGGCTGTCTGGTGTCGTTGCTGCATAAATCTCGGCTGCTCACGTACTGACTGCCTGTGTCCAAGCTGGTGCGTTGTTGGGGCTGCTATCGGCAAGCTTGCTGGACTGCCAGTGGCCTGGCCTTGGCGCGGAGTGTCGAAGGGCGTTGTTGCCCTGATAGCGGCTGCCTGGTCTGGATATCGGCGCAGCAAAGCCATGCGCTGCATGAGGTCCCCATTGCTCGTCGATGCTGCTTGTAGGCCATTGGGCGCGTCCGCCCCTGACGCTAGGCTCGGCTCGGACCTTGGCTGACCGAACACAATGGGCTCGAACCTAGTAGAGCCAGCGTTTGACGATGCCCTGCCTTGCTGGCCCGAAACTCGTGGGAGGCCCTGATGGCACATTGCGCGGGGCAGCTGCCCACGGATCGAACCTACCGAAAACATCCGACAGAGTAGAGACGTCATTGGATGGCGGCATCATCCATGAGGATGAAGCTGCATCGGTTGGCAAGGATGCCGGTGGCCCGGCGTTGGTTGATGTGGCTGCATCAGCGGGCGCCCCCGCTTCCATCAGTGGGCTAACGGTCCCCCTGGGCTTCGGTCAGTGTTCTGACCTCCTGGGCGCGGCCACCCTAGCGCCTAAAGAAAATGAATTCTCCTGGACCAAGGTACCCCGTGGGAATGGCCACCCCAACACCGACTGGCGGTTCGGGTTCGAAACAGCTGAAGTTCGACATCACCCATGTTCATCGGCCAATCCCATTACTCATGGTATTCGTTATAGAAGACTGAGGATTGCGCCAAGCAGATCTAAACTCACGTTCGGGCTCCACCGCAGATTGCATGAAGCACTTGATCGGAATGATACCGTTGAAACCGTCCGTCAAGGCAATATCGTCGGCAGAACGCTACAGCTTTGCTCCATCTTGCAATGAACGCGGGATGTTTATGAATATGTACAGGTCGGTTTCGGGCCTGAGGCCTGACCAGATCCTGGGGTCTCCTGGCAGGTATGGGCATCCGCGCACAAACTGCCAGCTGGCCCTTCCTCGTCGATTGTGCTCTGCACGACAGGACAATCCAGATTCAAGAATGCTGGGTAGAGACTTCCACATAGTTCCGCGCATGAAGAACTGGGGGGCATCGTCAATGAGACCAGGAGTTCCGCCGACTACAGCTGCGACAGGCTCGCACAATGATCCTGGGCATAGTACGCCAGGAAACGAATGTCCACTTGCGGCTATAATCCACAGCGTTGGGACATCCTCGTTATCGCACGTGCGCTTCAGCTGGAGGCGTGATTTCCTAACACCTGTATAGTCCGTCATATTGGCGATGCGCGGAAGCAACCAGGTTACATTTTCGGGCGGTTGGCCGCGCATCCACTTGACGACTGCGTCGCAGCGATGACCAACCCAATCGTTGGCCAGAACGTCCCTAACGGCTACCCATCCATCGTGAGGATCCCAGGACCAGCACGCATTCACGAATCACTCATCATAAAAATTGTTACTGTAGGGATCCTAGCTTGCCTCTGTAGGGGTCCTAGCGGATTCACGTGGCTAAGTGAGGCGCACCGCCGATTTCGGTGGCCGGCCCGGGTGCCCGGGCGCCCGGGGGCGTCCGGAGGTCCGCCCGGGGGTGCCCGGAAGTGCATGGGGGCACCTGGGTGCCCAGGTGCCCCGGTGGCCAGGCGCCTGGGTGCCTGGGCGCCCGGTAGCCCTATAGCCCTACATATAGCCCTATGGACTGATAGCCCTGTAGCTCTATAGCCCTATAGAATTGTAACCCTATAGCACTATTGCCCGATAGCGTATAGCCCTCATAGCCCTATAGCCCTAATAGCCCTGTAGCCCTATAGCCCAATAGCCCCGATGCCCTAATAGCTATATTGCCTTACAGCCTTACAGCCCTACTAGCCCTATAACCCTATAGCCCTACAGTCCTAGAGACACAGTCCTATAGACCTATAGCCCCATAGCCCTATAGCCCTATTGCCCTATAGCCCTAAAGCCCTCATGCCCTAAAGCCCTATAGCCCCATAGCCTGATATACCTGTAGCCCTGTAGCCCTATAGCGCCCTAGCCCTGTAGCCCTAGAAAGATGACGAATAGGGCTTTACTCTGGCATCATGGCCCACGCCTGCAAGCGCGGGACCGCCGCGCAGACACGGCGGCCATTTCTCCTCGCCGTGGTAAAGGGCGGCAATCATAATAAGTCCTTGCCATGTCTCCCCGGAGACCCAGGGGTCGCGCGT